TTTTTTTTTTTTTTGGGATTGCGAGGACTTAGTTTATTGTTAAGTCGTCTATGCCTTTTTTCATTTATTGTCACCAATGACTTTCTGTTATAAAAAGCTTTCATATACGGTAATTATTTATGATTTTTTGTTTATTACATAGTGCTTTCAGGTACAAACAATAACTAGTATATATATATATATATATATATATATATATATTTTTGAGTTGTGTTGATCACTAGGTTCTCCAATTTGTCATCTCGTTGATAAACGCATCTTTTATACGGTAAAAAAATTAAGGTTGATTGTTCTTAACACGATTGTGATGTAAAATTAGTATGAAATTGTTGAATTTGTGTTTACTTTTGCATGGGTTAGATAATGATTACATTACTTTGGCACTTATCATCAATAAATGAACTAACATGAATTCAAGTGGACACAATTGTTAGATGTTGAAATTTAGTTGTTTCAAAAAATGGGAATAATAATTTAGACCCAACATGAATGAATAAAGAGATGACACGTCCTAATCCAGATCCAAGATATGATGAAACCCAAGTGGACAAGTGGATAAGTGAGACAAAGATGGGGAAGATGACTCAGTTGAGTATAAAAGATAGGAATAATAACGTGGCATAAACCAAATAAAAAATAATAATATATCCCAAATAAAAAAGGAAAATCCAAGAGGTCGGCCAGCCGGACAGCTATCAACAGTTGTTAGGTAAATGAAATTCCCATTATTGGATCCACGTGGCAAATTCTCAGAGCTACCGAAACAAGTGGGATTTTATGGTTCCGACATCTGTTTTGTACCGTTAGTTATTATTTTTATGATAAAGTCAAAATTTATAAAAAATAAATTACATGTGTTTAAAAGAATCATTTATACACATGGTCAATTATAAATTTTTTACGTGTAAACGTAATTTCTTATTTATGAATTATAACTTAATTTTTAAAAATTATAATTTTAGTATTAATTCTATTCATAACTTTTAAAAATTGTAATTTACAACCCAAAAAAATTTTAAGCTAACCTCGAATAATAATAAATTTGAGGACAGTACCGACTTCCCGGCCACTCCATAGAGTTAGGAAGCTTCTTTTTTTTTATCTCTCTCTCTATGTAGCTATACATATACGGTTGTTATATATGTTTAATCTTGAAGGATTTCTTTACATATTTGAGAGTTAGCGTTGAGATTGTTAGACAGAGTGATGGGGAATAAAAATTATTTGGCGATGAAGACTGATGCTTCGGCAACAGAAGAATTGATCACTTCCGATTTGAAGGATCTTGGCAACGCTGCCAAGAAACTGGCTAACCATGCGATTAAGCTTGGTGGGCTTGGATTTGGGACTTCTTTCCTTCAATGGGTGGTTTCAGTTGCTGCAATGTAACTTCTCTCTCTCTCTCAACTTTTTTATGTGGTAATTTGAGGAAATAATTTCATCTTTAGTTCACAACATTTAGTTCAGTAAATAGACTGTGTGTGTGTGAATGTTGTGGCAAATGAACTTGGATGTATAAATCTACCAAGATTTGTTGAGGATTATCAAATGGATTGTTAGTGCTAATATAAAATGCTTTTAAAGAAGAGATGCTTTATGACTGATGATTTATATGTGGAGAATGCTATGGTGGAATGATCATATACAATTTTTTAAGATTTTTTGAACATATTTTGGGGGTCATTTACAATTTATGGGATTTTTTGTGATCGATCTTAAACATTTGCGATCAATCATGAAATCCTAAGATGTTAGGATCAATCAAACCTCCCAAAGGTTGTAACTTGGTCTTCAAAAAATTCTTGGATATTCTATCGGTGCATCTCGTTATGCCACCAGTAAAATTGAAGGTCGTACAGGATTTGACTATTGGATATCCTTAGACTCAAATCCTACTGTCCTTGTTGCAAAAGCAAAAAAATTTCAGATCTTTTCGATCTTCCAAGAACAATGTTATCTGGGCTTAATATAAATTTATAGATAATTCTTACCAGTGCATGACCCTCTGTAGCATCATTCTTAACTTGTTTTTCAGGCCCTGCCCATCGATTTGAATATACAAATGGTTGTGCAAGGATAGTAGACTTCTGTTTTATGCATTTTGTTCATGCTTTCCTGTCTACTGCTGCTATACATTAGTCATTTCTTTCACTACTCTACTTGATTTATGTTGTAGAATACAGTGTGGTAAAACAATTTCAAGTAGTAGAAAAGTAATAAATCAAAAAATTGAAGAAGATAGATCGTTAGGTAAGGCGCGACACTCGTTATCTTCGAAATAGTAAATTTTTCACTTATAATGCAGATGGACTCTTGAAAATTCTATCCCAGGATACAATGTTTAACTTTAAAATTAACAAAAACTACACTCCTTAGTAATCTTGGAATCAAAACTCAAGCCCGAATAAAAAATCAAAAAATATAGAAGTTTTGAATCAAGGAGAAGAAGAAGGATTAAATTGTTGATACTTTGTTCTTGCACTTGAACCCTATTTATAGTGTTCTATGCATCTCTTAATAGGAGAGTGTGACCCTTCAAGTCCATGGCAGAAGACACCCCTTGAAAGGGCTTGAATAATGTAGTTGTTAGAGACTAATTTTCAAACAGAATACCTGTTACATTCAAACGAGATTGTCATGTTCGAACGTACTCAACTCTTAGTATCTTGATTCTGAGATATTCTAAGATTTCTGTCAAAGCACTGGGAGCAAATCACGTTCGAACATGGGTTGTGTTTGAATGAACCGAAGTCACAGTATCTTAGCTTCTGTCAGAAACTGAGATTCTGAAAAGGTACTGCGAGCAAAGCACGTTCGAAGTATTGTTTTAGCGTTTGAACGTCGCCTCCCTCCTTTTAATTCTTCTTCTTCTTCTTCTATATATATATATATATTATATACATATGCAAAATTATAACTTGAAATTCTCATTATGTAGACCTCATTTTTAAGAAGATTCCTTAAGACCTTGAGTGGAGAATGAAAATTTTCCTCTATTTATAGATGAAGATGAATCCATGAAGAACCTCCAAGAACCAATGTGGGATTCATGTCTTTGCCCTCCTACTTATATATATATATTTTTTTAATTTTTGTGATAATACATGCAAATGATGTTTTACTAATCAATATATCACTATTAGTAAATAACTATATATATATTTACCTATATATATAACAATTTACTCTGCGATAAGTTGACTACGTAATACATCGTTTTCTTATGGTTCTGTAGATATTTGTTGATCTTGGACCGTACCAACTGGAAGACCAACATTCTTACGTCCCTTCTAATCCCTTACATTTTCTTGAGTCTGCCTTCATTAGTGTTCAGCTTGTTCAGGTAACTATACATTCTGTATGGCTCCGATATTTTCATTCGTGCTATTGCTTATTCATTTTCTTGCATAGTTCTAATCTGTTTGATAATGCAGGGGAGAAGTTGGGAAATGGATAGCTTTCGTAGCCGTTGTAGTGCGCCTTTTCTTCCCACGGCATTTTATAGGTTTAAGCCACTTTCAGTTAGTCTTGTTAATTAATCATGGTCACACTTCAATGCAGTTAAGAAAATCTTAAGAGTAATATGTTTATGTTATGTTGTATTCATCTCCTGATATCTGGGACATCTTATAATCAACCTATTTTAGTAAATGAACTATGATTTAGGACACAATTTCTTTATTGGCAGGATCATTCTTTTCCCTTTCAACTAAATAAATGAGCTAAACATAATAACAGATTTGAAATGATGCTAAATGTTAATTATTCTCTCTGCATATTTTCAATTATGAGTTGTGTCGCTGATAATGAGTGTAAATGCAGATTGGCTAGAACTGCCAGCCGCATTGATTCTTCTCATGGTGGTGTCACCCGGCTTTTTGGCCGACACTGTGAGGGGCAACTGGATTGGTCTTGGGATATGTCTTGTCATCGGGTGTTATTTGCTGCAAGAACACATCCGAGCATCTGGTGGTTTCAGAAATTCCTTTACAAAAACCAATGGCATTTCGAATACTGTTGGCATAATCCTTCTGTTGGTCTATCCAGTATGGGGGCTGATACTTTACATCCTATAGGCACCATTACTAGTGCAGCTTCTGGATTGTTTTCAATTTGCAAATCTGAACCTTACACCATCTATATTACTATTTGGTTTGTCAGCTGGATTGTGTAATTTGTATTTCTTCTTATAAATCAGTCTGTTTTCTTTGGATCAGATCCTTGGGACCTAGTGTTTGATACAATTATGTATTGCATAAGCATCTGTTTTACTTGAGAAACCTAAAAGCTTGAATCGATAACCACTCGCCAAGCTGGAACATGAGCAGAACTCATAGCTTAGCTGGATGAACTAATAGTACTCCAACTGTTCTGTCTTGTTTACTGAATAATTTCTGTGTGTAGAGCTCCCATCTCTCTCATGGTTGCTCTGCTCCATTGGAGAAGGTTTTTTTTTTCCTCCATTTTAATTGAACTTCTGAACAATCCTGACTCGTTGGGGATAGGCTCGAAAGGGAAGGGAACTGAACGCCTGTGAGAAAAGAAATGGAAATAAGAGCTGAATGACTAAGACGATTGAATTCAGGTTCTAAACCTGCCAAGGGCAGTCCTTGCCTCAACTCCTGTCATTCCTCTTTGGAGATGAGGGGCGTTTGCCACCCGAGATAAGCTCGTGGTGGGAGTTGTTTTTATTTTTCAGTTTAGCATGACTGCCAAGTAATTTATTACATTTAAGAGATAATTGCGAAGAAAATATTAATGCTAACGTAGAATTTCTGGCCACAGAATCCTCCAATTTAGTTGCAGAACTTGCATTACTTTCATCTATACAAGATCTTGAAGAAGAAGAAAAAAAAAAGAGCATTGGGAGTTGCTCAGAATGTGTATCATATTTTATATGACCCAAGTAATCAGTAATAGCACTGCTTAATCTGTTCTTGAAAAACAAGAAGAATGAACTATGATGCCAGCAGTCTGCATATCAGGTTCAAACACTGCTGTCACACCTTTGACCCCTTTGCTTCATTGTACAGTCGATCAATGCAGTCCTGTAGATGTGGCATAACAGAGTTCAGAAATGCCATTTCATTTTTTTCCTTCTTAGATTTAGTGGTTAAGAGGCATACTAAGATTTGCTTGTACACTTTCCGACAACTGTTATAATTGTAGTCACAAGAACAGTAGCACATAATATAGATTTTTATACATGTTAAATGCAAACTTGGGGGTACATTAGCATTGGGGAAGTTGTTTTCTTGCTTTTGAAAAATGTTACTACCTGCCACGATTCGAACAGTGGGGTATAATCGCATGTAGAACGCTTCAAATTAGGAAAGTCACACATAAGTGAAGGAAGGCAGGATGGGAAATTAAGAAAACAGTAGAGCATAAGAGGTACCTTATAGTACTTAAGCAGCTGTGGCCTTTTAAATTTGAATATTGGCGTTATAAAGTTCCTCTCGATGTCAAAAGGAGTTGGCTCCAAGTGAACTGCTTTTAACATTTCAAAACCTCGGAGCTGCGCAAGTGTCGTTTAGATCAGATAAGAAACCAAACTGAAGAATAGAATTAGCAACAAGGGAATGTGAATTAAAGTACATACTTGATGTTTCTGGTCAGTGCTATTGAGTTCATCTAAAATGTATTTCCTTGCCTTAAAGTTTTCGCACAAGGATTTGAAATCTCCAGTCTGATGATTTTTTCCCGCCCACTCTTCAAGTGCCTTTCTTTCAGGGATCACCACAACAAGAAGAAAGGACTCAAAACTGTTCCCATAGACCCAAATCTGTGAAACAATAAAAATTCAGCCACTCTATAAACTTTATTTATCAATTACTGGCAGATATTGGTGCTTATTTTTGTGTGCGTGTGTGAATGTGTCTACATCTATCAAATTCTAGTTTGTAACACGTGCAGTTTGTAATAGATGCAGTTTATAGCAAACCGAAGTCACTGTAGGGCATTGCGAATAAGCGCTTTCTATGCTTTCCACTGCAATATATTCCCCTTGAGACAACTTGAATATATTCTTTTTCCTGTCGATGATTTTCATTGCTCCACTAGGCTGCCATTCCCCAATGTCACCTGCAATGTTTTGGTCTTATTTCCTGTAAATTGTTCTTTAGCAAGTTCATCTTAATTAATAAAGTTGCCTCGATATTTTTAATATTCATAATTATTTTTTTGTCTTCTTGAGAAGAACTTAGAACAATTAAAATCAGGGCAGCTTAGCTAGTTCTTTTGATGAGCTTGACAGCACCAGGAGCTAGTGGAATGAGAATTTTTTCTTGTTCAATAAAGAGAAAAGGCCGAATAATGTCAGGAGCGTATAAGAATTAACCAGGTTTATTATGCGCAGTTGCAGACCGTGATTTATGTAAATTTAGCCACTAGTTTATACAGGAATCCAAATGCCAACACAAGCATAGTTTTCTGCTATAACTGAACTCCCGAATACTGTTAACTCCATGCAACATTGGCCATAACATGTGTTAATGGCCATCTCCCACATAGTGGACAAAGTGCCTATATGCCACTAAACTAGTTCTAAATGCTCCCTTATCAAGGAAGAGGACTCGTTCCATCCACAATGCACTTTTGCATAGTTTTCCCCTCAGGCAAATTTGTTACCTGTATGGAACCACCCATCCACAAGGACTTCTTTTTGATAACCAGAAAACAAGGTACTTCCCCTCAGGCAAATTTCTCCACGCGGCACATTGGCAAGTGCATCATATTCCATCTCTGGCACCGAATCAAGCCTTGCCTTGATGGTTGGCATGGGCACACCAACAGTTCCCGTCATAGAGAACACATTCCGCCACAGCTTTCTGTAAGACTTGACATTTAATAGGACACTGGAAATCATATCAAATACACTCAACATGCGATGAACACAACTCTCACTTATTCATTCATTCTTCCATACCATATCCTTGTGAAAAAACACAGCAGCAGGCCACACGCAGAAACTCCTCCACATGTCGTGGTAAAGGTGCAGCTCCAGATAAGATTAGACGAACTCGACCCCCAAATCTTTGTTTGATCTTGTTAAAGATATAGCAGCAGTCTAGTTTATTAGGGTTTATTAAGTTTTCTTTTTTTACTTTTTTCTCCTTAGTGTAACTTTCATTGACTATATATACAGGGTTCTACACTTAATTTGTATCCCTTTCGCTTACAATTATCTCTAGTTGGTATCAGAGCCTCACCCTAACCCTAGCCCCCCGCTAAACATCGGCACAGCCACTGTCACCTTCAACATCGACACACAGCCTGCAACAACAGACGGACTGCCAAACCATACCCAGTAGCACTGAAACATCATACCCACCAACAGCAACATCGCAACTAACCTACACCGACCGCCAAACCGGTGCCAAAAAACCGATAGCCACAACAACCGAACCAGCGAAGTCGTCTCCGTGCCGAAACAACATACTTCACTAAGCCCACTGCCCAGACCACCTATAACCACCGACTGCGCAGCCAACATTACCCACACCGACTGCCAATATATACCATCAACAACCAGACCACACCGACTGCCTTTGTTTCAGTGCCGAAAAATCAACATAAATCAGCCCAGCAAACCATCACTGACTCAATAAAATAAGCAAAGCCCAACCAAAGCCCAAACGAACCAAAAACCCAAAGCCCAACCAGCCTAATACCCACTCTAGTGAACCAGTCCACCGTTAGATCGCACTCTTCCTCGCAGCTTCGTGTTTTACCTTCGTGCGTCACGTTCTTTGTCGTAGTGTTGTCATCTATTTGAGCCACTACCTTCTTTTTCCAACATTTTAAGAGGGGTTGAATCCTCTTATCTGTTGATTTGACCTTAATGCAACAGATCCATTATTTATATGTCTTGGAATTGAGTTGTTCTATGCATCAGGATCTTAAACTGGTTCTCTAGCATATTATTCAAATTCAGATTATGGGAGAGCATGTGACGGTCGATCTACTACAGGCTTTTGTGTTTTTCGAGTGATTCATCTTATCTTTTGGAAGAACAAGAAGCAGTTAGTTGTCTCTCGCTACTCAGCAGAGGCAGAGTATCGGGCACTGACACTTGATACATGTGAGAGTATCTGGCTACGATCGATTCTAAGCGAGTTGGAATTTCTAGTGACTTCTTCATCTACATTATATTTTAATAATTGATCTGCTATTCAGCTTACTTCTAACTCTATATTACACGAGAGAACGAAGCATATAGAGATCGATGTTCACTTTCTTCGGGAGAAGGTTAGTAGTAGTATTGTTACTCCATCGTTTGTGGGGACCAATGATCAGGTTGCGAATGTTTTTACCAAACATGTCACTCTATCTATTCTTTGAGACTCCGTTGACACTTTTGCGCCTAACTTGAGGGGGAGTGTTGGAGATATAGCGGTCTAATTTATTAGGGTTTATTAAGTTTTCTTTTTTTACCTTTTTGTCCTTATTGTAATTTTCATTGACTATATATACGGGACTCTACATTTAGTTTGTATTCCTTTCACTTACAATTATCTCAAGTATATGAAATGAACGTTGTTAAATAGAAACAGAGAAAAGCTACAACGTAAATGTTGAGAAAATCTTCAGACCTTGTAAAAAACCAGCCTGTCCAAGAGAGGGGTCGCTTTGTTTTCTTGCAATCCCTTCTTGAGATTCCTCAGTTTGCTGTTAGTCGTGCAGTAGCGAATCAAAACAATAACACATAAGTTTCAAAAGCAATCAACAGATCTACAGTAACACATACTAGTTGTAAGCACATTGAAACAGTGTCTTCTTTAGCGCACCTCCAGAAGAGATCTTATCCATTATACCTTCACAAACAAAATTTCAAACCTATGCCTGAGACATCAGAATTCACGCAACTACGTATCAAATGAATCCAAAAATAGATAAACCTGTGTATGCACGGTCAAAAACTCTAGGAACTCCACAAAAGAAGGTTGGCTTTAATTCGAGAAGGTCCTCAATCAAATATCTGACATCCTGTATGTTGCGAAGAAGAACTACTGTAAAGAATTTCAGACTTGCACCAGGAAGAGATTACACCCTTGTTGAGAATGGAATTATTGCAAGAAATGAAGCTGGATCTTACGCCTCGCCAGAATCGTATTGAACAACCCCTGTAGATGCAATAGGTCTCAATTATCTGGTCAAATATATGGGCTAAAGGAAGGAATGAAAAATATGTATCTTCTTCTGTGCCCTGTGAAAGAAAAACCTTAGTTACATTCTCCACTGATTTTACAGCTCAATGAAAAAAAAAAACTGAACTCTGAAAGCCCCTATGGTCAAATGCCATCTACTGAAAAGTACTGGAACTGAACTGAGAATGGTCATATGTAATGCAATTCTTAACGACAATAAGCGATTGAGCATTATTTGGTTCATGATAAAAACTTCTCATCTTACAGAAAACAGTGTCCAAATATGCTGCTCCATTCGGATCAAAGACTCCTACATGGAGCAGCATACGGATAGAATTTTATAAACCTTAGATAAAATAATATGGATAGACTCCTACCTGCAATGTAGGTAGAACAAAGAAAAAACTAGAAACTTGTTAAACAAATTATATTAACTCAATAACTCATCCATTTTTTCTTTAACAATCTACCTCAAATATGATCCGAATTTTATCATTAAAAATACATCAAAAACAAGTAATAATTTTTTGGGAGAATTATACCTAGATCCCTTGAAAATTATCACTTAATCACTCAGACCTCCTGATATTTAAAATATTACACACATACTCCATGAGGTTTGTACGTGTGTAACACTTAGATCCCCATAAAATTTGTAGATATATAATACTTAAATCCCTTAACTAAAAAAAAATAATACTTAGACTAAAAATACTCCAATCAAATATAAAATATAAAATATTTTAAATTTTACAACGAAAATTCATGTTCTATTGTATCATTTATTGAAATAAAATAAAAATTAAAAAATTATTTTTTTTCTTAAAAAATCGTAATTAGTATACAATTATACTATCTATTGAAATAAAACAAAAAAAATCAAACAAGTGGTCTAAGTCATTCATAATAGAACATGAATTTTACATCTAAAATTCATGTTTCTATTATTTCATTTATTGAAATAAAATTAAAAATAAAGTCTAATTTTTTTTTAAAAAAAATCATAGTTAGTATATAATTATACTATCTATTAGAATAAAACTAAAAAATTAAACAAGGGGTATTTTTGGCCTAAATATAATATTTTAAACTTAAGGGGTCTAAGTATTATATACTTACAAACTTTAGGAAGTCTAAGTATAATTTATTAAATGATATATTTATATTAAGGGTCTAAGTGTTACTCGCGTACAAATCTCAAGGGATTTATGTGTAATATTTTAAATGTTAGGGGGTCTGCGTAATTAAATGACAAATTTTAGAGGTCTAAGTGTAATTCTCTCTAAATTTTTTTTAAAAAAAGGAACTATATCAAGCATGCACATAGGTAAATGGCATGGCTACTACAAGCCTATCAAAATTGAAACAAATAAAGAAAACATAAACCGTAAGCGAATGTTCAACAAAAAATTAAAATCAAAGCATGCATAAAGAATGACAAGATAAATAATATTTCAATTTTGTCTCTCTATATACTTTTTTTTTGCTGCTTCTAAGACAAATAAACAAATACCTCCAATGCTATTGTCTATTCTTGGCATGGCCAGCTCAACCCTACACATAAAAAAAGGCTCTAAATTTTAAAGTTTGATAATGAAGTATATATCAAAGATTAAAACTCATTATAATTTAGCTTAACAAAAAAAATTCTGAAAGATTAAATCAACAAAATAAAATTTAGAATTTAGGTCTAAAAATACAATCCACCCCACACATACACATTTATTAAAGGATAGAAAAAGAGTTAACACTTCAATAAAAAAAAAGTATAATAAGCATCTCTTTTCCACAAATAAAAATAAATCAAACATATTTTCTATTCTCTCAAACTCGATTTTGTTCTCATTTAAATGCAAAACACCAACTAATTAAAATGTTCATTCTCATAAAAGATCCACAATAAAAACTAATTAATATAAAAAAATTTAATAAAGTTGCTATCAGAAAAAATAAAATACAACAAAATAGTAGGTGAACGTTGCATACATAAATAAGTTGAGGATCATCAAAAAATTAAAAAATTATAAATAATTTAATAACAAGATAACAAGAAATTATGAATACATACTGATAGTCGATAATGTAATACCGTAATTTTCATAAAGAACATACAAAACAAATAAGAAGAACATAAAAATATTAATAAAATAATATTTTATATTTAAAAAAGTGCGGCGCAAGCAAAAGATGAGAGAGGGAAACAGATGTGCAGTTCTGTTGGCTAAAAAAAATGTAGTTCTGTTAGCCATAATAATCTATGTATATTTATATTTTCTATGAACAATGCATTCGGATAGTATAAATATGAAATAACACATATGTGATATTTTATATATATTAAATACCTAAATTATTAAAAAGAAAAATTATGTGACATCACGTTGTTTTATTGAACATTTTTACTATGATAATATCTTAAAACGGTCCACACTTTATTTTTGATAAATTTAAAAAAAAAATATGGAGTAACTCATATATTACTTTTAATACTTGTGTGTCATCCAATAATCAATTTGTCTCATTTAATCGGTTTTATGAACGAAAACTCGACAATGAGTGATAAGAAGAGACTATAATTATTACGAGATGCACAAATACTCTAATCATTTGAATGGAAGGAGGCATAATATGACCAACCCTAAGGCCCGACTATAAAATAGTCGTCCAGAACTCCAATTTAATTTTCAGCCCTCAGTTCAGTTTCATGTTATGAGACTCTTTTGAATGGATCAAGTTAAAAGTCCAATATATTTCACAAGTCTATC